TCGCACGGTCCCAATAGAACCGACTCTTATACCATATAAGAAACGAGTGGAAAATGGGTGCGGTCCCACGCAGATGAAGCGCACCATAAGCAGGGAAAGCCTAGATGAAGTCAGAGTGAAGTTTCATCCCAAAACCAATTAGTAATAGGAGGAGTAGCTTACTAGGCTTATATACTATACTTATTTTTCCTATAAAATCAATGTGGGACAACTCACAAGTGATATTCCAACATTGTCAGCACAATCATCATGCAATAAAACAAATATATTTATTTTTGTAAACATAATATAGTCATTGTAAGAGATGAAAACTACCGAGGGTGTGACTGGATATAAATTCAATCCAACCCAAAAAAAAAAAAACAATCTATACAAATCAATCAAAACTTAAATTTAACTCAATTTTAACTCAAGCCCACTATCATCAGTATTATCAATATAGTTAAATAATATCAACCGACCATTCTTACACATCACATCAACTTTAATTCATTATAATTTTAACTAATCATCAATTAAACGTCATTTCTCTCCTACTTTTACATAAATAAACTTCAATTATTTTATTTTAAATATTATTTTAATTTAAACTTAAATTTTCCTTAACAACTAACAACACCACATTTTTTAAAATTAACTACGACTAAACAAAAAAACCAAGCAAATCATATCCAATCACACCCTGAAGATGCTTTGACAAGAAAAGTAAAAGTACAAAATAAAATCCATAATTTTATAATTGAAAAGAAGATGAAATTATTTTCCTAACAAGGTCATTTTAGAGAAGAAAACAATGTTGGTAAGAATAATCATTTTTCATATGAATAAATTAAGATGAAAAATAAAAAATGTTTTAATAAAGTAAATACTGATTATATTATTTGAGAAATCTGAAATCAAAGTTTGACTTTTGCAAATGTTGAGTCCTAATATGATGGTGTAATTAGTATACTCACTAAGCTTGACAAAAGAATATTTGTGTGAAATTTTTAGACTAGATTGTTCAAATACAGAATGCAAAATTTCTTTTTCAAGCATTAATAGTGCATGTAAATGGAAAGTGAGAATTACAAAAGAATTTTTATTTAAAAAAATAAAAATAAAAATAAAATGTGATGAAAATTACATGAATACATGGTAAATCTTGAAAAATTATCTCCAAAATCATAGCCAAAGGCACTCCAAAACATGTATAAATACGTACCTCCATTAGATGTATATTTGCACCTTAAAAATTTGTTGAATATATTGAACACTCCATATTATATAACCTCTTCATAATCTTGTTTGAGCTTCTCCATCTCTGGTTCGTCTAATTCTCCAAATGTTTAATCATTTTAGTAAATCTTAAATAAGTTTTAAGATTAAGGGTATTGAACAATTAATAAAATTACTACATTAATTGTACATTTGTTTTTTGTATTTAGGAACATTATGTGGCAATTTGGCAATAATTGGACTCATGAAGCTGGTAATAGCAGTACTGCTCAAGTGCCGATTTCGACTTCATATCTATCAGTGATGCATGAGATACACATTATGTTGGTCGATCATGACTCGGAAAGTCTAATAAACATTGCAAAAATGCTCGAGCTATGCCAATATAAAGGTATAAAAATTTATTATATTTCATTTGTTTTTAACTTTTAATATGTTGCTACATTTTGTATTATTATTATTATTATTAGTGAGCTTTAAAAATTTGATCTTTGTTTTATTGATGATTTTCCCTTTTTGATAATTTGTTGTAGGGGTTAACAAATTAATGACATAAAAAAACATTCATTTTTATCATAATATTTTTACTTATGTCATTTATGTGTTATGTAAATTTATGTCATAATAATAATTATTTATTCATTGATAAGGATTTGATGTTTGTTTGACTTTAATGAGCATTTTAATAAATGATCTCAACATACATTGTGTGTATTTGTGTTCCTTGTTTTTATGTTTTCCTTCCCTTTTTGTAATTTGTGATTCTTAACATGTTTTTGTTTATGAAAGATTTATTTGGTTTTTAGGGTTTATATGTTATTATCATGATGGTTGATTTTGTGAATTTATTTGGCGCGCAAGAAGTATTTCATCTAACATAAATATTTTTTGTTTATGAAAAAAATATTTGGTTTTTAGGGTTTATATGTTATTATCATGATGGTTGATTATGTGAATTTATTTGGCGCGCAAAAAGTATTTCATTGAATCGTTACTGGAACAGTTTGAAAACGGTTAAATATTTATTGATAACGGATAGCGAATAACTTTTGTCATTCGTGTAAAATAAATGCTCGATAATTTAGTTAATAAGATCGAATTTAAGCATATAAGTTAAACTAGTGGCATATAAGTGTTTCATAAATAAAGTTAGATTTTCGTCTTTTAATTAATTAGTGGATAAAAAATCGTAAATTTGATTTATGACAAAATGTCTATAATCAAATAGATACGAATATGTGCACGATATATTAATTAATTGTGTACATATATGATATTGAAGTAATGTTTATTCATGTTATCATCTAGGTTATATGCTATTTCTTTTAATTATAAGATAAAAAAAAAAGTGAATTTGATTTTTGTCGGAGTGTCAATAATCACATAGATACGAATATATTAGCAAAGTAAAAATTCTTATTATATATTAGAGACATGTATATTTTTATTTTTGTCATAATGTCTATAATCACATAGATACAAATGAGTTAGCGAGTATACATATTTATTATGATAATAAAGTCATATATATTTGTGATTTTTGTTTTCATGTATATAATCAAATAGATATTGTAATAACATATAATTATATACATATATGATGTTGAAGTCATGTATATAATAAGTGTTATATTGTGTATATTGATGTACTCTTGTACTCAATAAAATTAATTTGTATGCTAATAATTTTTGTCGTATGTGTTAGCAAGTATGCACATTAATTATATACATATATGATTAAAGTCGTGCATATTTGTGTCATTGCATTATTATTATGTATGTAGTTTATTGAAGTAGTTTTATTTTCAATAAACTTGTTATGTATTACGACTTTGTTTAAGTACTTGTCAAAAGCAGGAGAAAAGGGAAAGGCAAAAGCATTGCATTTTCAACTTTTTGATTGATCATATTTTTAAATGGGTGTTGATATTTAACATCCCTATTACTACGTACCGCCCCTTTGGACAATTTTACTCTCGACACTTTTTCAAAAAAGTATAAAAAGAAAAAAAAAATCTCGTCGTCAGGCCGGTAGAACCGGCCGTGCACGGCGCCGTCCGGTTTCGCCGGTAGGACAGAATCGTGTGCGTCTTGTTTCCCCGGTAGGACGTGACCTTGTACGTCCTGTTTCGCCGGTAGGACGCGACCGTGCACGTCCGCGATCGCCGGTCGGACAACAGATTTTTTTTTTTTATAATTAATTTTATTAATACACAAATATTTTTTAATATTTATATATTAAGTTTTCTTTTAATATAGCTATATAAATATATTTTTTTTTAATATATATATACACTTTGCACTTATTTAATTCATTGTAAAAATTTATTTTTTCAAACTTCATATAATTATATATATATATATATATATATACTTTGCAGTTATTTAATTCATTGTAAAAATTTATTTTTTCAAACTTGATATAATTATATGTATATATATAAATATTTATATTTTATTAATTTTAATTGAAAGTTGCATCAGATCAAAATGGAAAGGAATTATTAAATACAAAAATATACTTATTTCTAATATAAATTATTATTTACTTTTTTTAGAGAGAGAAAGAGAGAGAGAGAGTTTGTTAAGGGCAAAAAGATAATTAGGGGGCTAGTACGTAGTAATAAGGGGGTGAATAGCGATTTACTTTTTAAATTAAACTTCCTTAGGCGTTGTTTTCTGTACATAGGGGTGAGCAAAACCAAGCCGAAACTGCCAGCCAAACCGTGTAATTCGGTGCGGTTCGGTTCTGTTGTTTTAATATAAAAAAACTTTCGATTCGGTTTTTTCTACGTTGCGGTGCGGTTATAGTTTTTTATACGTTCAATTTTCGGTTTTGTTCGGTTCGGGGCAATTTTGCAACGAACCGCAACAAATTTCATAAAATGTATAGAAAAACCGTGATAAACCGAAAAACGAATGGAATCGTGCATTTCGGTGCGGTCCGGTTCGGTTATTTTATTGTAAAAAAAATCCTAATCATTTTCGGTTCAGTTATTTTTTTTGCTAGGTTCTGTTTTCCATTTTGTGCGATTTGGTGCAGTTTTTCACTGAACCGCCCCATTGCTCAAACCTTGTCTGTATAGATAATACATTTTATTGAACGTTCATTTTATTTGTCCAACTAAGTACATACAATGCTTGCTCCTTCATTTAACACCCGTAAAGATAAACAACGCTAAATTGCAATTTTGGTCTTTATGAAGGTAGCAATGTAGGTCTCATTGTTGTGATATAGCAATTTAAGTCTTGTAATATAAATTTTTGCTGCAATATCTGAGGTCAAAAGGACTGAAACTACAGTAGAATTTTAAATTACACGACTTAAATTTCTATCAAAATCCATCCCCAATATATAAATTGGGAATGTTGAGTACCAAATGAATGACATTGTAGCAAAATTTTAAATGACACGTGAAACCTAAATTGCTAGATTCATAATCTAATAGAATTAATTTTAAATGACACGTGAAACCTAAATTGCTAGATTCATAATCTAATAGAATTAATATTGCAATTTAGTTTTAAATCAATTATTCAAGAAACAATTATTCAATTGCAAATTTCTCCGAAATTTAAATTTTCTTGATAGTTTCACCTCATTTCTATATTTTCTCATCATAAATCATAGCATACAAACGATTATCATTGTTACATTTTGTCCATTCCAACACCTTATAACTTATACAGAGTTGCCAGAAAAACGGAGTTTGTGTATGTATTAAACTCAAAACTCTGTCTCAACAGTTACTCTTGTGGAGCTCGCTTCCGGTGCTCTGCAAATGCTGTCGGCCGGAAAGATGAAATTCGACCTTATTCTGGCGAACGTCAACTCGCCGGACCTCCACGGCTTCAAGCTCCTGCAGCAGGCCATCGCCATGGATATACCGCTCATTCGTAAATATACATATATAACATATCCGTCTATTTCTTCGAAAACTCGTGCACAAAAACCACGCATATATAGTTCGTTCATCTTAACTTAACTCGATATAATTTTTTCCGACTATTTTTCAGTGACAGGGGTCGAGGACAATGGTTTCCTCGCGATGCGCGGCATAGAAAACGGGGCGTATTTGTACCTTCGGAAGCCGATAACAAAAGAGGTGGCCATTTGCTTGTGGCAATACGTGACGAAGGAGAAGATACGGTTGGTTAGGGAGAAAGAGAGGGCATTGGCGGGTCCCGGCTGCAATGCTGCCCGAGGAGGGGTTGAGATTCGGGAGCCGGGGCAGCCTGGGCATGGAAATTCCGGCGACGTGGCCGAGATGAATAAGGGGAAGTCTAAGAGGAATGCTCGAAAAAGTGGTCGTGATGGTGATGGTGATGATGATGAGGAAGAAGATTGTGAGTTGTTTGGATACCGTGGGGCGTTTAGCGGGAATGTCAAGAGGAAGGTTTGCACGGAGTGGACTCAGGAGCTTCATGATAAGTTTGTGCAAGCTGTCGAAGAGCTCGGGGAAGGAAGTAAGTTTTTTTCGTGTCGATCATCTATTATATAAGTATGTATTATCTACGGTTGTTTTAACATAGTTGTGGTGTGATTTCTCGATCGGTTTCATAATGCGATTAGTTATATGCATTTAACATCGACTTTTCGTGACAGGGTGCTTCCCGAAGGAAATTCTGGATTTGATGGACGTGCCGGGGCTGACGAGAATGCAAGTGGCGAGCCACCTTCAGGTATATACATATATAAAACAAATCAATGTCCTCATCATTTGTCGCGCAAAAATATAGTGACATATATGCATTGTACTATTACTTATACTAGCTACTAGCAAGTTTTTTCGTCTCTCGAATTTGTATTTCTCATATCGGATCACAATCGGTTGCCTAGAAATGTCGCAATCATAACTGGCGTGCCCCCGAGGAGCGCAGGTCCAACTCTGGATCCCAGAACCCGACGGTCGACCCGACCCCCAGCAAGCCGAGGCGTTTTGGGTCCATGCCCAAGATTGCCGCCAAGACGAAGGCGGCGGCTTCGGCCTCCAAGGAGACGAGCCGTGGAGGAGGCACCACAACCCCGACTGCAGGGGAAGGCTCCAAGACTCCACCTGGAGGTTCCGACACGGAGGTCCAAAATGGAGGTGGGGCCCACAATGTGGAGGTTGCGCCTATAACCGTGCCAGTTCCTGGCAGGAACACCAATGATTTTCCTCCCTATCATCCAGTTTTTGTGCCGATAGGTCCTTTGCCCGGGAATGTTGTCCCGCCTGCTGCTGCTACTGCTGCCGGTTCTTACCCGGTGAACAACCCGAGGAATGTATCGGAGGACTTTTTATATAACTTCAATGAGATGGACTACACCGGCCTGTCATCGCAGGTGGTGGCTGCTGCGGCGGCAGCTGCCGGAATGTTGGGTGGCAACATTGCTAGCTCGAGCGGTGGCAGTAGCAGGTTTCAGTTTGAGGCGATCTACCGTCATCATCTGGACCAGGTATACATTTTAGTTACTGTTGTGCTGTGTGAGGCATTATGCAAGTCGACTCGTCATACTATTTTAACAAAAACGCATACTTCCTTTGTGTGTTATTTTTTTCTGAAGTAAGACATTGCCTAATGTATGCACGTGCATGTGTAAAAAGAGTATGTTGGTCTAATGGTTAGGCCGGTCCAACACGACCTAATTGTTTTTAGTTAATGGTGCCTAGTTAACGTGGTTCGACTAATTTCCAACAATGAGTCGGTTTGTTTTGTCGATGCAGAATGGTGGGGGCTCAAGCGCGGATGGAAGGAGGCAGAGGAACCCGGGTGAGGCGTCTGCAAACTATGGAAGCGACCAGGATTCAGAGATGACGCGCAGTGATCCGTGAAGGAAGCTAGAGTTTGAATAAATCAAGCGTGCACTTGGTGATGTTTGCTTGCACGCAAAAATAATATGATTTTGAACCAATAAGAACTGAATTTGTTTGGTGTGATTTTGTTATTTTATCTTTTTGATTGGAGTTTTTGTTGAATAAAGACACAGATTGCAGCAGTGTGTTATACTGATCACATTACATTGGGGTTGGTGTTTTGCGAGACTTTGATGGTAATGTTTTTCCTTTTTCTTTTAATTTGGACATGAATGTTGTGTTTCTTTGATATAATATAGTTTGTGTGAGGGATTGTTCCCATGTTTTGTTCTTAACATTGAGTTTCATTATCTTTTTCTTTTATACTCATAACAATTGTGTAACACAAATTATTTTTGTGTACGTGGTCTAGCAGATCGACCCGTCATACTTTTTCTTATAAAAATTTATATTTATGCTATGAAATGTCATATTTTTTTGTTTTTGAAAGTATGTAATTTTTTTGAAAAAGTTCGACTGTTTAACCGTTAGGTCTACCTAACAGTAGTCTTACTGATTATATAATTTTCAAGCTTAATATAGACTTAGTATGCTTGAAATTGGCTTGGAGAGTGAAGCTTGAGGTACCGGATATTTCATACAAAAAATGAACAGTTTCACTTATCAAGAGCCTGTACATGAAGAGTAGACGTGTTGTGCTCAGTTTGAATTGAGCAGCTCGTGAGCCGAAATCGAGCATATGTGGCTCCCGATCTGCTCATTAGATTGAGAATTAGGATTTTTGTTTAAGTTTGAAGGTTACTGACTGGCTGGACTTACATCCAGGGAGTGAATTCTCTAGGCTAGGTGAGCTAAGTTATATAGGCTAGAGAGTCACATGAGCCTAGAAGTTGAGTTAGTCTCGTCAATAATTCCTTGAGTCTCTAACCCAGCTAATAGCTTGAGCCTAGAAACTCGAGAACGGCTAACCTTTAGATAGGGGCTGGAGTCTAACCTAACCTAAGTAAAGATCTGCTCTGAGCTCAGAAGTCAAATTATTCTAAGGTTAGGTTAAGTCAGAAAAAGGCGGGTTTGATCCCAAATTTTTTCCATTTATGCATCCTAACCCGAGGGGCTATAGTTTTACTTACCCGACTGAAAGGAAAAGGCTTGGCTTGCTTCGCTTCCACTGGTACTATTTTTGTGCCTTAGCTCGTAATTGTGTTAGTTGTAGTGTTGTCATAGACTGGAACATGATTCAGAGGGAAAAGAACAAGCAAAAGTTGGAACAAAAATATCTTGGACCGATGGGAGGGAGCTGGCTTGCTACCGTTTGACTGACTTGCTTTTCTTCCTTCTTGGCTTCTTTTTATAGCCTACTTTTTATTATATATCGATCCATATTGTCATGCAAAAATTTAAAGCATAAAAAAATAAAAAATAAAAAAACTCAAAGTGATGTAGAGCGTGTGTATGAATGGGAAGATCACGCACAAGTGTTGAACAGATTTCTTATTTGATCGATTTGAAAACAACTGATCTCTTCTGCGTAGGAAGAGAGTACATAAAAGCAAGAGTCCAACACTCCTCAATCCCTAATAATAAAAGACTAATAATAATTATGAAAAATCCCAAACTAATAATAAGACCCTCTAAATGAAAGATTACTAATAAGTAATAACAGAAAATAAATCAACTAGACACGAAGGCGATCATATTTATCTAAAAGCTATCGCGGTCTCGTCTCCACCACAAAGCTATGAATTATGAAAAGCTTGGGCTCTGGTTCGAATTTTACGAGTTTGAGCTCGAACTCGAATTTGCTGCTCACTGTGTTGAGTTGAATTTTATTTTAACTTATCAATATCATCTTATCGACTCGACTCGAACTCGAAATACAAGTACTCAAACTCGGCTGGACTTGTTTAGTATTTAGTTTGGGATGGAATTGACCTAATTGATTAGAATTTCAATGAATTAAAATGTAACATTCTCCTTAACATTCTCTCCCTCTATCTGGAGACAACTAGCATGTCAATTAGTCTAAGGTTAAGCAATATTTAATTTCTTTTTTCCCCCTTTCAGATTAAACAAATTTACTTATGACAGCTAAAAAAAATAACATTTCAAAAATCTAGTGATAATAATAAAAATTTACAAACATCATTACATATACCTTGCTTTTAAAATCCCTCCTTCACCTTTTTACCACCTTTTTCATTATTTTCAAATTTTTGCCCTTTCTTTATTGGGACATGCTTCAATTATATAACTCCTAATTTTCCTAATTCTGCCCCTACTTTTTCCCCCTTTTTCACTTTTTGGTCGACTGCCACTCAATTTATTTATATTTTTTTTATATAAAAAAAAAAAACACATCAAATTTGAGTCTTTTCCACATAGATTACTTCCACAATGCATCTTCCTCTCCTTCTATAAATAACCCCTTCATAATATAATAGTACTTACTAAATATTTTTGGTTCTGTTATCATTTTTCTTAGCTGCAAATAATATCAATAAACAAGAAATTCAATTTGCAGCTTATTTCTTAATGGAAAATTCTTCTCTTTACAGTTCAAATTTGAATTCATCACCAAGAATGCTAGCCATGGTGCTCGCTTTAGTGTCGGCCGTCGTGCTTTCGCCGATTTACGCCGATCGCCGGCAAATCGAGACGCGGTGGAGCTCCGGCGGCCTGGTGCTGCCGGTGGTGGTGGTGGCCGGGTTAATAGTCGCCATCAGGACGACTAATTCTTCGTCCAAAAACCATGTATTGCAAAAGGTGTCTCAGAATAATTGTGGTGATATTTATCGGTCTCCGGATGATAATAACTGTGGGGCTAGTTTGGTATTCAGGATTGGGAGCTCAAGTTGGGGTCTAGCAGGGATTTTGGTGATGCTTATTTTTGTGATTTCATGGCAGGATTATGTGAAACATATTTTCTGGAGATAAAAGGGAGGGAAAACATGTATAAAATTTAAAAATAAGTTCACCATTGAGTATTGGTATATGACTATATGTTGGTTATTTTTGTATTTTTATTTATTTGCTATGTGTGAGGGTTTTTGTAACATTTGGAATTGAACTTTCAACATCCATACCTACTACATTACTATATATATTTGTTGTACTGTATTGTGTATTTTGATTTTGCTGTGGGCTTTTTTAATCTTTTGAACTTCACTTGTCATTGTGAACTACTGTTTAGGATGTAAGAAGAGAAAACATCATTTAAATAAAATCATTGGAAAATGCTAAGGTCTTGTTACGGAACTATTCCGTCAGAATGTGTAACCATTAAATCAACTATGCCCGACGATTACATGACGATCTAACGGTTACAAACTACGACAGAATGGTTCCATAGCAGGACCTTAGCATTTTCAAAAATCATTACCATCTAAAAAATGTACATTTATTAGTGTCACGAAATTCAATAAACCTCAAAATTTGAGTTGGATCACATCATGAATTTCAATAAACCTCAAATTTTGAGTTGATCGAAATTCGAAACTCGAAACTCCCATTCGATCCCACATGGATTTGAAGTAATCATTGCATCACACACTCACACCCCTGCATCTGCTCCATAAAACGGGCTAAATTACAAAAGCCAGACTCAAATTGCTGGGGAGAAAAGAAAAAAGAAAATTCCATTTATAACATTACCAAACACTTCTTTACATAACCTTTTTTTCTTTTTTTTTTTTTTTCTTTTTTTGGGAAACAAACAAGTGACCCTTTTCTATGTACAAGAATTACCATAAAAGACACAATCAGTTAATCAGAACGCTACTTTAAAGAATGAAATCAGCTTCTAGAGCTAGCAGTGGACACCATACCATGGCCAAGGGGAACCGTTATACCACGGTCATACATCCGCTGCATTTCTTCCCGGTAATCAGTCAGTGACTTGTCCGACAAGGCAGGGGTCAACTCAACCACGTCCCCCATTTTCAACTTGCAGGCTGGGTCACTAACGGGCTCGTGGTTTAGTCGTGGCCTTAGCTCCTGTTTTATGGAAATTGCATTCGAAGCCCAACCAGAAATGCCTTGGCCCGATTTTTCCAACAGATCTTTTATGGATGAGTTTGCAGGTAAGTCGTGCACAGACATCTGCAGGGTTCGAAATATAAAGATCAGATATAAATCAAATGCACAAACTCAACTTACTATACAATTGACAGGGAGAATGGGAAAACCCCATTGATTGCCGGTTGGTACAACTGGCGAAAATAGAAAGCCTAAAGGACATTTTAGCTCGAAACTAATTAGTTTGCGGTTTTGCTATAAAAATGGTTCCCTATTATTGCGAGTTCAGTTGGGCTGTTGTTTGACAAAGTAAACATATTAGCATGAGTTCCTATTCCAGGTACTTTCAGCATACAAAAAAGATGAGAAGCCAAGAAGGTTAACACAAAAGATACCATTGAGGTTTGGTTTAATTACCTAAAAAAAAAAATTACATCAAAATTTCCAACAGATTCTTGATATTTGTTTCAAATTTACAATACCACTCATAATAGTAAATACATTACCTCAAGGCAGCATTAGCAATTTTCACAAATTGTTGGGTTTCCATCAAAAAAATAGTTAAGACTTCAATAATGATTTATTGCGTTTATCCAAGAGAAAAAAAACACATATAAATGAACATCAACAACGAACCTTGTCATTCTCAATCATGATCACAAAAAGGGGCCCAGAAGACCCGCAATCAGGTTTGCAAGAGAACGAGCAGTCTTTGGAATGGTTAGGAAATGTACAAGGTAGTTTAATGGAGTCCACATAACAAACAGAAGAAGGGTCCTGGCTCATGGCCTCACACTGCCACGAAATGACCCAACGGGCCCACTCAACCATCTGGAGGACAAAGGACGAGTATTTACAGTCTCCTTCTTTATATCTCCAATGAGCGGCAAATCCGTACTCTGCTTGCAGATGCATCTCTTTTGTCCGGATTTGAACTTCAAAGGGGATAGTACCTTCACTAGTAACGACTGTGTGTATAGATTGGTACCTGTAAGTTGTTCTTTGTTAACATTAAGCAAAAACTGCAATAGACTCAATAAAAATGGCATCTTGTTGTTTTTGGTTTCAGAGCTAAAATCTTACCTATTAAACTTAGGATGAGCAATATAGTCTTTGAACCTCCCTGGTAATTCATGCCATAGCTGCTGGACAATGTTTAGAGCTTTGTAGCAGTCTTCTTTGGTTTCAACAATTAATCTTAACCCATGAATATCGTGAATTTCATCCATGTTCAGCTTCTTCCTAAAATAAGATAAACATGTTATGAAATATGTTCGCACCCAAAAATCAAATATCGAATTGGTGGCACCACGGAGCCTTTTCTAAACAAAAAATAAATCGGGATCATGGTAATGTGTGCAAAAACAAATTACTGAAAATATCCCCCCTATATGTAATTACCGGATGTGCTGAGCCTAAGTGGCGGGCTCGCATAATTCGGAATCCTAAGTGTCAAAATTATTTGGCTTGAATAGATTTTAATTTAATTCCAATCCAAAACTAATTAGGTTCGGATTAGCATAAGTATGTTGATTTATTTATGATCATTTTAGATGTATTAATTGTATTTTAAAATCATTTCCTATTATAACTATTGATTGTAAATGTATTTTAAAAGTTGATAATTTTTGTATTTCTTATCAGTTTTACATATATAATGTATCAAATTAATCATCTTTTGATGAACTTTGATTTGACATCCATATTGTATATATTAAATAAATAAATTAAATTTATCTTTACAATAATAAAAAAAAATTATTTATTCAAATTAATTAAAAATAAAATTATTTTTCAATTAATATATTCATTAAATAGTTAGATGGTATAAGTTAAAAAAATTATTATAATATAACACATGTAAGTCGCACAAGTAATAAATGTCATACTAAAATACATAATATATATATATATAATTAATTTTTTAACTACTTTTTCTCATTAATTTTAAATTTCAAGAAAAAATTTTAGCAAGCACCCGTGTAATAGACGGGCGTTGTACTAGTATTATGTTAAATACAACTAAATGTAAACTTTATTCTTTAAGTAAACAAAGCCGATATTCAAATCATAACCACAATTAACATGCTTTAAAAGGATATCACAAAGTCCCATGAAACAAATATTTTTAGCTGATTACAATCTGCACACTGAAGAATAAAATGATACCTATGACGACACATGAGCATGGACCAAAGGTTATTTTAATGCAATTTAGTGCACGCATGTTTAAAATATGCTTGTGTATGACATGAAAAAGGAGACAGGAAATGGAACCAAACATACTTTAACATCTTTGAATGGATGCTATACAAGCTCTTGTGTCTGCCTGATAAAGAGTGGTAAGAAATTCCTCCATCCTTCAGCGCTTGCTCCAGCTTTTCCAAAGAAGATGTAATCACAGCCTCATCAAAATTATTAACAAGCTTGGAAGAAATTTCCCGGTGATTGTCTGGGTTAAGATATTTGAAACACAGGTTTTCTAGCTGCTCTTTCCAAGTTGAAATCCCTAATCTACTGGCCAGAGGAGCAAATATTTCCAATGTTTCTTTTGCAAACCTCTGTTGTTTAATGAAGGGCAACGCATCTAAAGTCGACATATTATGTAATCTATCAGCAAGCTTTATTAGGACTGCCCTAGCATCTGTCATAGCCAGGAACATGGTATGTAACCTGTCTGCCTCCACAGTCTTACTGGCTGTGTTGTTCTCCCGTGCAAGCTTGCTCAATTGGCTCATCTTTGACACCTGACCAAAATACTTGGTTTTTAATATCAAGCCATCAATAAACTTCAGCTAAACGAAAATTAAACAGACATCAAGCTAGTTTATCAGTGAATCCCACTAAACATTTTTCCTTTCAGATATGAATGAGCAAATGAAATAATTTCGAACTTTCAATACAATAACAACACCTAAAGTTGCAAGCGTGCATCATCCCGAATCGTAATCCAAGATCCA